TCGTTCGAAAAGTCTAACGAAATAGGAATAACGATGACGTCATTCTTGTTTAACTCGTTCGACTTTACGAACATACCCAATGTTAACTTTACATTCCAAAGATAAAGTTTTTCTTTTCTTGTTTGATGCAGAAGAATTAGTTCTACTTCGTTTGGATGACATAGTAAAGTCTCTCAAGTCTCCGTAGATATAACAAACACAGAAATAAATAACACAAAATAAATTGTAGCTATGTGTGGATTCCGCGCGAAATGTCCGAACATGTAAGCTGAACAATAGTGTGGGGGGAGTGAGTAATCAAGGGTTGCGTGGTGCTCAAACAAAAGACGAATCGACGAGATTTGAAAATCGCGTAACTCCGGGTTCACGTAAGTCGGGGTATTACTGTATCTTACTTTGCATTGAATCAATTGTCTTCTTAAAAATGAAAGGACACAAGTATGACATGGAACAGATTTCTCCTTTGCTGTATCCATCCATATTATTTGCTGTATGTATCAGAGAAATATGTTCCATGTCATGTTTGTATTCTTTCGTTTTGAAGATGGTTGATTCAATACAAAGTAAGAAACTATTATATTCAGTTTTATTATCATTTTTATGTTTAATTAGTTTTGTACTTATATCTAGCTCTTAATTTGAGTTACTGATGAGGGGCCATAAAATGTAAGTCAGCTTGAAATAAGACATTTTTCTAAAATTTTTTAGAAATGAAAATTAAATATAAAAATGAAATTAATAAAGTATTGGAAAAAATGTGCCAGTTTTTTATAGTGTGTAGTAACCTAATTTTTAATTATTAAACCTGATTTTATACAGTTATGTATGTAATCAACCAAAATAAACATAATTAAATTATAGTTTTGGATCATTGAATTACTGGTAGTGTTTCTATATACCTGCTGACACTTACGCAGAATTCCTAAAAATTTTTTAAATGTCTAGAATTATGTATTTTCTCAAAAGAAAATCTTTAGGTGAGCATATAGAAATTAAGGTGTATCTTACATTTGATTGAATTTTATATTTGAGTAAATACAACATATCATCCTGTTAGCAACTTTTTATTACAGTGAGAACAGAACATAAAGTAATAAATGGAAACTTAGAAATTAAACTAAGTAGAAATTGGCTTTAAACATTTTTTACAGTATTGTAAATTTTATTTATTAAATTGAAATAGTTTTTATAAATATGAGTAATTTTATACATAAAATGAATACAATTAGAAACTTTTTTGTGATAATTTATTTCATTAATTTATATTAAATTTATTTATAGATAACAAATCAGGATGATATGTGGAGCTGTGAATTCCCAGAAAAATCTTTGATATCACTTGTATTTACTATACATTTACCTGTAACAAATCAAAAAAATGCAAATAATTCATATGTTTCTGCTATAAGAATATGGAATTATAATAAAGATGTAAAGGTAATCTCATTTTAATAATTATATATTAAAACAATACATATTAAACAGTGCATATGAAAAAATATGTAGTAGGCAATCACTTTTAGGTAGTTATGTAGTAGGCAATTATTTCCAAATGAATTTTTTGGATACTTTTACAGCATCTGAAAACTTCATTTGCAATTGATTATAAATAACTTCTATAAAGATTGTTAAAAAAATATAGAATGTACCTAAAAATATATAAATAAATGAAAAGATGGTGAAAAATTAGTAAAATAATTTATTTCAATATACTACATGAGCATAAAGGTTGGAATGTCACTGAAAAGTGTGTGGCATTCTGGTCATTATGATCATGTAATTTTTCCTCTCGTATGAAAAGTAGAATATAATAGACTTAGCCTCATGATTATAATTTCTCCTTGTCATTTGTGTGATCATATACAGTATGTACTTGTATTATTTTTGTAAGTCACATTGTATATATTTGAAATCTAAGAACAGTTGGATTGTGTAATTTTTAATATTATTAGTTTTCTTTTGAGCTAGAGACCTTTTTACTTTAAAGACAAAAACACATCATGAATAGACAAATTTTATTTGTTTTATTTATATGGGAGATATTTTTTAGATGTAGAATACTTTAAGAAGTGTTTTCTGATTCCTTTTTCCCCTGGTTTTTGAATAAGCTTTTGAGAAAGGAGAAGAGTTACTTTTGAGATTATTTAAAATTACCTATCTATATTCATTATATAATTTTAAAAAATTTGAATGTATGTAAATATTCTTGTTTGTTCAATATGATTTAAATAACATAGTATAATTGGGTGAGAAATAATGGCAACACACATCGTATAAGAAAACCTTATATAAATCTTGATTTAAACAATGTTTGAATCAACATTCACTTAAGTTTATATTTATATTTCATCTGTATAGATACAAGTAAAATGAATAACTTTGTTTCAAATCTCTAGAATCTAGTGAATTTCATTATCAGATTAATTTTTGATAATATCAATGATGGCCCTTATTGCCTATAATATTATCTTCATATTGTATATCTATATCAATTCTATATTAATATATAAAATGAGAATGTTTGTTTGTTTGCTTGCTGGAGGTAATCTCACAATCTGTTGAACTGATTTTAAATTTTATTATTGGAAAGCTTATTCCTTCCAGATTAACATAGGTTATGTACTACTTTTATATTAAAAAAAGAAAATGCATGAGAAAGATGTTTTTACCATGGCATTTGTCTGCTCCATTTGAGGACAATTCCTTCACTATCTGATAGGTTTTTTTAAAACTTATTATCTTAACTATTTGGTTTTGAGTATTCTAAGGGAAGTATGGAACTATAAAACTTATATGGAATTTCATTTCTTCCCCTGATTTTAACTCCCTACAAATTGCCAAACTCTCTGACTGGTTTGGGCCAAATTTTGCATAGTTCCTCTCTGCCATCCTGTGGGAAATGTATGCTACTTTATGATGAAGACAACTCCACCTTCTCTCTGAGTTCCTGGCAATGCTGGGCATTCTTTGCTAGTGCAGTATAATTATTCTTTAAATTATCTTCAAATAAATTTGTTAGGCTTCAATTTGAAAAAATTGTACACCTATAATTCTCACTGTCATTTATCCATCTGTTTTTCCTTAATCTCAAGAATGGAATTAGAAAGATGAAATATGAAACCATATATGGAAACCTTAGGTCAGGAGACCTCAATTAACTATATACAAACTTCTAATGCAAACCAGAAGTCATGTTATTTCAATTTAAAACTTTTTCCCTGAAAGCAGTTAATTAATGATTGGCACGATTTTATTGTTAAGGGAAAAGTATGATGTACAGGGCAAAACACTACAGTACTAATTTGAGGTAGAGAGCATATATTTTAAATTAAATAAATTAAAAATTACAGCTTGGCATTGTGACAACATCACAATAAATAATTGCTCATTTACCTTTTGGAACAGAATTGCAGGAACTGAAATGAAATAATGATTTTTATCATAATTCAACAAAATTACTTCTCTTAAGCTTTGTTTTTATTTAAATTTTACATCATAATATAATTGACAATTATCAGACTATCTTTCTCTTAACCTCCTGTTCAAGTGCCAGGAAAGTTGAGCAAGTGTCTTTGCTAGCTGTTTTTAAATAATTTTCTCTTTAGATGTTCGAGTTGCTATTTATTAGTAAAAATAATTAATATGAAAATCAATTTCTATATTTAGAAATAATAATAACCAATTTCTTAACAGGAACTAAATGTTGGTGTTCAAAGAGCAAAAATAATCATTGGAGATACTGTAATATTTGATGGTGAATTTCAGCAGGGATGTGGGAATGAATCACATGATTATAGTCAGACTATATATTTAGATCCTTCAGTACAATATGCATCTCGATGTGGATTATTACAGAAATCAAAACATAAAGATAATACAAGGAATTCTGGAAAGAATGTATCATTAGAATATGGTTCTGAGGGCATCATTAAAACAAAAGATAATCTAAAAGGTAAGTTGTAAATTCTTATGATAAATTCAGTTATAAAATTTTAATTAGTTTATTTAATCTAATTATTTGTTATGATTGTCATTGTTTCAAATTTAATACTATTACTTTTAAATGTATATGATTTTGAAAATCTCTGTTTTATAAATTTTAATTCAGATATTTGCATAAAAACAAATATATATGATTTAGTTTTTTTATTTTGAAAGAAATTAGATTGAATGTTATTTTTGTGTTATTTTTAACAAGTGAGAAATACACTTTCAGTATCTGTTTTATATTTATTAAATCAAATTGAAATTAATTAAAATGTTCACAAAAAGACATCCAAACACAGAGCACAATGCTTGACAAATGTTCTTATCCTGTATAAGTCCATTCAGAAAGTCACCTTACGATGAGATGGCACATTTAGGAAACACAACTTTCAATAACCTGACAAATTACTCGTTTTCCAGACAATGTCTTCAAAATCAGACGATAATTCCTTTTCCTCAACAAGCGAAACGACTTCTTCTTAGTGAGATAACAGCAAACTCAAACTTTCCTGCCTAAACTGATCTATATATGTGCTACAGCGGCCTGCAGTTGACCAATCAGCTTCCCCACTGTTTTATAGTTTTCTGCTGGGTCCACCGCTCATTCAAATCTAATGGTTCATGGAAAGTTGCCCATTAGTCCAGATTTTGACCAATCTTGATGAGCCATGATATATTATTTGACTTGACTTCTTAATTGTTTCCATTTTGTTATATTACTTTACAGATTTCTGTAATACAGTAGACCCTCTAAACACTGTTGATAATTCTGTTTTATATGAATACCATGTTGTATGAGTCACTTAGATTTTACAAATACATGTGCTGGGCTGTGAACGGCTCACATATTTGTAAAATCTAAGTGACTCGTACAACATGGAATTCATATAACATGGAATTATCTACAGTGTTATAGGGGGGTCCATTGTATATATTATATATATTTTTTAAATGGCTGACGATTTACTCATTAAAATGTCTTAATTTTTCACCATGTCCAATCATTAGGAACAACGGTCTTCTATTGTACTCCCAGAAACTATGTAATTTTAACGGTTGGCTTGTCACCTGTAAACCTTTTCTAAACTGTTTTGCATAATTTTTCAGAGGCATAGCCTCTAATAAAGGGTCATCTCTGCAAATAGAAGGCTGTTGTTCCTGATGATTGTACAGGGCAAAAAATTAAGACATTTTAGTCTTTTTCTACATATTTTATAACATATAATATATTGTTGTTGTTCTAAAGTTATGGAATTGCAAATATTAATACTTAATAGAAGTAATTTATGACTGATATTTATATACTTTTTATAAACACTTATCCATGATTTTAATTGTAGTTAAAATTATGGATAAATAAATTAAAATTATAGTAAATAAATTATAATTAAATATAACATTTTTATAAATTATAAATTTTATTTTTAACTATGTATTAAATTTTAGATGAAACAAATTCTCTTGAATGGTTGAGCAGTTCACCATCTTTAGACATATCAAGAATGAATTCTCGATCTTCAAGGAGGCAAGTGCATTTTAGAATTTTAGTTAGTTTTATTTTAATTTTTTGTAAGTTATTTTTTAGAAATATACATTAAATTATGCATAAAAATTTTTATATTTTCATAATAAATTTTCCATATATATAGAAGGAAATATTTGTTATAAGAATGCTGTTTTTTTATGAATAAATTGTATAATCATTTATATTTGTCATCTTAACAATTTTTTAAAAAAATGTTAATGAATGAAAATATTTATGTTTTAACACATATTAGTTTGTAACACTTCATGTGATAATACACTTTTTATATCAACTATTTATACTTATATAATAGTGAATGATGATTTATGGGTTCTGGAATTCATGTTATATAGTAGTTTTTGAGGATAACATTCTAAGTTATTTCATATGTCTTGGAATGATTTTTAAATTTAGAAAAAAATAACTAAATAATAATAAATAAAATCTTATTTTTAAATTAATATTTTGAAAATTCAGATAAATAAAGTTATTAAGTTATTTACATTCAAACATTAGGGTTGGTGATTGTTGTTGATAATTTGTAATGTAATATAAATAACAAGTAAAGTGTATAAATTAATGCTAATATTTAATGTTTGTAGTAATGTATATTTTGATAATATAATTACTGACAATACAATGTTTATTGTATTTTATTTGATTTTATAATTAAACTTACTACTAATTTGCATATAATTTTTTAATTAGCAAATTTAAATTTTTTGAACACTTTTATAAATTATTTAAGAAATTTTTGAAAAATTAAAGTTAATTCCTAAAATTAAATTGTATTAAGCAATTTAAAAAAAAAATTTAATAGCTAGCTATGAAAACACAATAAAAAGTATATTAGCTTATCAGGTTGACTAAATCATAGAATAATGATATGTGCTGTAATATTTGAAAGTGTATTATAATAATTTTTTATACCATAATCACTCATTGATTATTGATGATATTCTAAATTGTCTAATTATTCTACATGCAAAAGTGTGTCAAATTGAACAATTATATCTATAATTTTATAAATCTAACCATTTTATGATCTATTAATAATTAATCCTTTTATCAAATGTAATGAAGTAAGACCAGCATTTTGTTTACTCAACCCCAGCTTATTTTTATTTTTGATTTTGTCATTTTTAATTTCTGTTGCAATTCTTTGTATATATCCAATTTTTAAATTTAGTTTGATTTGACTAAATTAAACTAAATTTTAAAATTATCTTGAATGTTAATAATCTAAAATTAGTTTTGGATTAATTGTACTTTATATTTTTACCATAATTATTATATTTGTTAATTTATTTTTTTATTGACTAAATGAAATTTAAATGTTTGATTACATTGTCTAACTAATTCAATATTTTTACTCCTTGTATTTAAAAAACTGTATAAACATAACTAGATAATATTTTTCCCTTGTGTTTCTCACATCTTGATTACAAAATAGTTAATAGAAACAGATGAAAACAAATATTCTGACATTAAAACTTTGGATGCCCATAAGTTAGTTTTCAATATACTACTTTTATTCTTTCTATACAGTCGACCCCCCTATAATTACGGTCCCTATAGTTACGATTCCTATAAAACTACGAAAAAATTGCTACCGGTATCCGTAAAAAATAGTAAAAGTTCCCTATAAACACCTCAAACGTCATCGGGAAGCCGAACTACTTTCCCGCCGTCCGTAGCGCCACGCTACGGAGAGATTTCTATCGTCTGGACAGTATTATATAAATTATATATAAATTAGGTACTGTACATATAATTATATATTAATTATATATAAATTAGGTACTGTATATATAATTATATATTAACTTATTGTAACTTTGTTATAATTAAATATATAATTTCCGCCGTCTAGCGTGGCGCCACGCTACGGAGATTTTTACGCTAACTATCGTCTGTCAGTATGTAAATTAGGTACCGTAAGTCTAATACAGTACTGTAATTTTATACATTTCTTGT